GCTTAAGCTACATAATCTTTACTCCCTGGAATGGAGATAAGAAACGCCCTAACCTTTGCAATAGAAATTGACAGGATTAAAATCAACTGGTATAAATACAGATGTAACAAGACAATAAAACACAGAACCTGGCTGGGGAACCTAACCAGAACTTGGCTGGAGATCCAAACCAGAACTTGGCTAAAGATCCTGGCTAGGCTGCTGATCAACTGAACGCTGTCTCTGTGTCATTCCTTCTTCGCCGACTCCGTCCACACCTTTGGGCACCCCTGGACCTGCTGGGGTTGGACCCCAGCAATTTCCATTTTTAAAATACTATTTTTAAATCTGTAACCAATATCCTTAGGCATATAGCTTATCGCCAAATTATTATATGACATATTCTCAGAAGTAAAATTACTAAACCAAAAACTATGAACATTTTTAAAGTTCTTGATGCATATTCCCAAATTGCAGTTTGTTATATTGTTACCGAGTAGTATGTCAGTGTGTGTATCAAAGAGCCTACCTTAACTACTCTTACCAGCTTGGGATATTATCATTAAAAACGTTTTTTGTTGTTAATTGACTAAAAGAAATGATACCTCATTACTTTGATCATTAGAGAGCTATACATTTTATTAAAGGCCTGTTTTCTAATTTAATTTTCTATTCTAATTTAATTTTTTCATTCATAATACCCCTGTTAGTTTTTTTCACTTATGTAATTAGAACACAATGTGCTTTTTGAATTAATTTTTGTGAGTTCTTTATACCAACACTTTATCACATATGCTATGACTCTTTTCTCTAGTATGCAGATTATCCTGATTTTTTTGGTGACAGAAGTTTTAGTTTTTATATAGTCAACTCTGTTGATATTTTTCTTTGCTTCTAATGTTAAACAGTCCTTTTTCATGCTAGGGTTTGATAAATATCCTACTTTGTTTTCCTCTATTGTTTAATAATAGAATGACTGTTTCACTCTTTAGTACATCTCTAATATTTTGTTTTAGTGTAAACTATGATCTAAAATATTCAAATGATTTCTTAAAGACATTTGTTTAAAGATATTAAAACTAGTTGTTTAAAGACATTTAATTAAATTAATTCTCTCTAGTGATCTGATGCATCATTTATCAAATATCAAGTTCAAATGTGACCTTATACATAAAGTGAGAATTGAGAATGAGATGGGTGGATGGAGCGGAGGACAGAGAGACGGAGTCAACACAACACAGATAGGGATGCTGCCCCTTGGTGGTCATGAGTCTCTTGTCAAGACTCACTC